AAAGTCTTTAAGATGCAAAACCAGTAAAAAAGTTCATTTCACTCTTTCAGTCCATGCTCAGTTCACTCAAAATATTCTTTTTGACAATCAGTAGAATTCATTACTTAATAAAAAGAACACCATATTTATGCACAATTTTCCATTTTTCCATTAAGAACTCATCTTCCTTTAAAAACATTTACCACATATTCACAGTACCTAACATCACAAAACTCTTACATTTGACCTAAATGTCTGRATTATAGCACTACAAGATGGAATTTCCTCATGCCTAATAATTCAGTCAAGTTTTGCCCAAATGTCTTCCAGGTTTGGATGTTACAAACATTGTGTTCTGTTGTCCCTCTTACTCTATAGAGTGAATACAAATTTAGTGCCTTTAAACTATATTGAAATTTTTTAGACAAAGGAAAATATTTCCAGTGTAATTATTGTTGACAAGTAAAACATTCCAAGATTTCTTCTTGTCTTGCTTTCCTTTTTTATGGACTTTAAAATCCAAATTTCCAAATTAGTCTGTTCATTCAGTGTGTCTGACTAGATTAAGTGCTGCTTTTTCAAACTAGGTTGGAAGTCCAAAAGATTAYTGTGTAATCATAACTCTGTGATTTAATGTAATGTTCTGAAATAGTTAAGTACTGTTTTGCATCTTCAGCTGCCTTTCCAGAAATTACAGGTGGCAATCTCTTAGGTTGGAGTGGAGGTTTGGACCTATCATGTGGAAACCAAAGAACAGATCTTGATGATGATGAGTAGAAGTTTTGAATTAATTTTTGGCAATTGTATGGGATCACTTTGGTATGGTGGATAATGTAATATTACTTCTGTAGTCATTCTGCAATAATTCAGTTACTCTCAATGAAAAGAAATGTCTTAGCTAAACTCTTCAGAGGCAGAATGTAATTTACAATTACAAGACTGTCTTTCCTGTCAAATCAGAGGGAATAGGACTTTTCAGTGCCTGCAGGTGCTGCTGTTTGGGGGAGTTTACTTCTGTTTTGATGGGCCCTTTGGACCCACTGCTTACAGGGGCTAAAGAGGTTCCACACGGCCCTAAAGAAAACAGAAAAATGCACTACTGAGAGACCCAGCATCAAACACATGTTCAATAGCCTCTCTCAGCTGGTGGTACTTTAAATTCTCTTTTTACTATGTCCTTCATAGCCACCAAGAGCTTCATTTCATCCCAGTCATCCCTTCTCTCTTACATCAATGGTCCATCTATAATCACACATTGCAATTTCAAAAAACCACTCCTTGATACCAGCATGCAGCACCCCAGATCCACAGTATTTCTTAGAATATTAGTTTTACATATTTTTTTTCCTATCTAGTAGATGTGGTTGCCTGTATTATTACTTGACTTCCTTGACTTTTTTCAGCATTTTCACAATCACTTTTACTGGTTTGTTTTTCCATTTGAGTCTTAGAACACAAAAAAAAATCCTGTTAACATTTGTGTTGGAATTACATCCTGTTTGTAGATTAACTGAAGGATACTTGAGAATTTTAATATGCTGTCTTCCTAGTCAAAGAACACCATGTCTTTCTAGGTTTTTGAACCTGCTGGGCACAGGTACATAATGAACATTAACCAAGACAGAGAATATTCTGAGCCATAGAACATGCCTCAGTAAGTTTAAAAAGATTCCATTCATACAAAATGTTTTCTGATCACAAGAAAATTTAAGTAAACTATAACTACAGAAAGATATCAGCAAAATCCCCAAATAGTTGCAAACCAAACAGATTTCTAAATGATCTATGTGTCAATAAAGAAATAAAAGTGGAAATTAGAGTTTATTTTTCATTGAATGAAAATGAGAACACGACACCAAAAATTGTGGTATACTGCTAACGTGGTATTTGGGGAGAATTTAATAGCAATAAAAGCCTACATTAGAAAAGATGCAAAGTTTCAAATCAATGACCTTGGCTTTCACCTTAAGAAATTAGAAGAAGACAATATAAGACCTAAAGTTAATAGAGGAAGGGAAGTAGATTATAGCAGGAATGAAGCAGAAAATAGAAAAATAAATGAAAACAAAAGCCGTTTGTTTGAGAAGCTCAATAACACTAAGTTTCTGGTCAGGAAAAAAACAGAAGAGAAATCACCATTATCAGAAATGAGGTAGGTAGTGTTGCTATAGATTTATAGATAATTAAAGGATAATGAGGGAATATTACTAAATTTGTGTTAATAAATTTGACCACTTAGGTGAAATAAGACAAATTCTTCAAAAWATGTAAACTACCAAAGCTCACTCAAGAAAGATAAACTAAATATCCTGTTAATTGTATCTATTAAAAGAATTGAAACTATATCTACAAACACCTCAATAAGAAATTCCAGGCGTAGAGGAGTTCACTAGTGAATCCTACAAAATGTTTAAGGAAGAAATAATACTGATTCTACACAAAGTTTTTTAAGAAAAATGATGAGGAGGTAAAAGTTCTCAACCCATTCTATGAGGCTTGGATTACTCCAATGCCCAAAGGAAAAAAAATTACAAGAAAACCCAGGCCAATATCCACTGTAAATATTTATGTAAAAATTCTAAACAAATGTTAGCAATCCACCAGTATATTAATATAATTATAAATTAAGACTAAGGTTTATCCCAGGAATGCAAGATTTTCTAAATATTAAAAATCAATTTATTTATCATATAAACAAACTAAAACAGAAAGACCATATGATCACTTCAATGAACACAAACTTGACAAAAATCAATATTCATTCCATAAAAAAATCAGCAAATTAAGAATAAAAAGGGAACTTTCTCAACCTAAGAAAGGGAAGCTACAAGCAATCTAGAGGTAACATTATAATGTATAGCAAAATCCTGAATGAGTTCTTTTAAGATCAGGAACAAAATAAGAATGTTCACTCTTACTACTTCTGTCCAACAGTGTATTTGAAGTTCTAGACAGTAAAACAAGGCAAAAACAAAACAAAATCATCCAGAATAAAGAGTAAAATGTCTTTATTTACAAACATCATGATCATTTGTAAAGAAAAATCTAATGAAATCTAGATAAAACCTACTAGAAATAATAAGTGAGTTTAAGAAGGTTGCAGGATACACCTTTGTACAAAAATCAATTGTATTTCTCTATATAATGAAAAATCAGAAATTGAATTTAAAACATTGTAATTTATAATAGCATTAAAATATGAAATACTTGGGGTAAGTTTGACAAAAATGTGAAAGACCTGTACATTAAAAACTACAAAACATTGCAAAACAAATTAAAGACCTAAATAAATAAAGAGGTATATTTATGGATTGAAATACTCAATAATAAGACGTGAATTCTTTTCAATCTGATCAATACAACACCAATCAAAATCTCAGCCATGATTTTGTGGGTAGAAATGTAAAAAACTGATTCTCAAACTCATAAGGAAATGCAAAAGACCTTAGAATAGCCTTTTTAAAAAGTTGAAGGGTTTATACTACATTATCAACACAATATAGTATTGGCATCAAGGTCCACAAATAAATCACTGCAACATAATAGAAATTCCAGAAACTGTCAAATATAAATCCATATCTATCTGATATTTGACAAAGGTACAAAGGTAATCCAGTGAAGAAATGACAGTCTTTTCAACAAATGGTGTTAGAATAACTAAGTCTCCAAACAACATAACAAATGAATGTCAAGCCATACATCAAGCTATATGCAAAAACCAAACATCCCAATTTAAATAGTGGGCAAAAAAATTGAATAGACATCTCACAAAGAAGATCAATGAATGACAAGTGTATGAAAAAAGGCTCAGCATAATTTGTCCCTAGGGAAATACAAGTTAAAACCCCAACTAGATATTACTACATGCTTAGTGCAGTAGCTAAAATTAAAAACATTAATTAAAACCAAGTGATTTTAAATTTAGATTAAGCAAGTGAAACTTTCATGTGCTATTGGTGAAAATGTAAAATGACAAAACCACTTTGTAAAAGTTTGACAGTTATCAAATGACAGACATACATCAACCATACTTCCTACTTCTGGGTATTTATTCAAGAGAAATGAAAGTATATACCCATTTGAAGACTTTCTATGAATGTTCACAGAAAATTTATTTGTAATAATTAAGTACTGGAAACAGTTCCAATATCTATCAACAGGGGATTTAGAAACAAACTGTGGCATAGCCATATAATGAAAAGTACAACTTGGAATTAAAGAAAGGAATTAATTATTGGCGCAGCTGCAACCTGGATGAATCTCAAAATAATTATGTTTAATGAAAGAAGCTATACAGAAAAGGATACATAATTCTTTTAATATGAAATTTTAAAAAATACAATCTATAGTGACAGCGGATCAGTGGTTGCTTGAGGATGGGGTACAGAGAAGGTCAGGAGGGAGAGATTGTAGAAGGGCATGAACAAGCTTAGGAAGTGATAGAAATGTTTATCTTAATCATGGTGATGCTTTTGTGGGTGTATATATGTATCAGAATTTATCAAAATTATACACTTTAAATATGTGCAATTATTTATACATCAATTACATCTCAATAAAACCTGAAAAACTCAACCTTAATGATTTGGCTTCAGGTTCCTATAGAAAAATACAGGTTCGGGAGCTCCAAAATCACAGAACTTCAAGATACTAACTTTACTTGCCTCTAAAATGTATTTTATCACTGTGAAATAAACTAGTTTTGTTAATTGATCAATCAATTGACTATAGAGCCTACAATGAGATTCTCCTAACATAAACAGACCAAGTAAGATCATGTTATTAAAATTAGTCTTCTCCACCCTCTTTTTTTTTTTGCCTCTCTTTCCTTATCTGGGTAGGGACACTGGGGCATATAAGAAAGATTTAATATAAGGAAAATAAGTAAGAATATTAGGTGTATTGGAAATTTATGATGTGAAACTAGAAAATRCATGCTAGTATCCAAAAAATAAATATAAGATTTTTCTTTTCATTTTTTCCCTATCTTTATCTTCCTTCTTTCCTTATGATCCTCTCCACTTAAAAAAATCCTCTTTCCTACCTTTCTCTTCCTTCCTCTTCTTATGCTCTCCTTCCACTTTCTATCATTTCCTCCCCTATCCATAGTTTCCCCCACTGGCTGGCAGAATTGCACTGTGGCCCAGATTACAACATGCACTCTGGAGCTGTCTGCTCAATTTCAAACCCTTTGCTCACTGTTTTAGGCATGTTATCTAAAAGCTCACTTTAGCTCCCCTGCATAGGGGAGTAATGGAGTAAAACTGAATGTTCTTTCCTCATAGGACTGTTATGAGGATGAAATGGGCTGAGATAGAAAAAGCATTTAGAATAGGTAGTCACCATGTAAGTTACCATTCTGAGAGCCCCGGCTCCGTGCCAGGCACATTGGATTCCAATCAGTTGCATGTAAAGAGTCCTTGGCTCAAARAGGGATGCAGAAGATGTAAGAGTGCAAGGCCTGGACACAGCCCTGGCTCGGCCAGTACAATTCTCTGACCCTCACTGTGCTACTTATGCATCAATGCAAATAAGAAGTTTGGTATAAGAGCTTATATTTAAGGTCTCTTCCAGTTTTCACCACTGTTCTATGTAATTCAAGAGTATAAAAATAGTATCACATGAAAAGCCTTTTGACAACTTTTTAGGGGCAACAGATGGGATTTTTATGTTATAATGAAAGCTATTTGTTAAGTAAGAGCTATCAATGCAGTTATATGGACGTTACAATCGTTAAAATTTTTGTGGAACACTAAGTTACTCTTTAAATGTTTCATGAGGAATTGTAGCATACAGGTTGATTCCTATCTCCTGAAGCTGAACATGTTTAAAGTTTTGGATCCGAACCCCCCTTTCCCAAGTTGTCCATGGAGTCGCTTGAGAGGTTAGCAGTTTGTGTACTTTCTCTGTGAGTGAAGGGTGAATATCATTATAGCTTGGCCTTAGTGACCCAGTAGCAGAAATCCTCAATCAGGACACTCAGTAGTTTTTCTGGCTTCTTCAAAGTCAAGCAACCTGAGTGATGAGTGAAGTAATCAAAAAAAAAAAAAAAATTAGAGTCTCCATGGCTCACTTTGTGTGAAATTTCCTGAAGTAAGTGCAATTTTCTACATATAACACTGTCATACAAGAAAAATTGTCAGCTTTGACAAGATGGGATATTTAATGGAGAAACTGTTTTTAGATGGCCTCGTCACACATACTCTTATGATTATACAATTTGGTGCTATTTTGAAGGTTTATGACATTATGGGGAAGGGGACTGTTCCTTTTACCACACTGTTGGGGAAATGTCAAAATGATATGCTATTGCCCAATGGTTAGGAAATTCTTAATACATTGAAGATTGATGTAGAAGCGTTACACTTCTTCTATTAGGCAAAGTCCTATYCACTTGTCAATTGAAGACATGTTGATTGCAGGGACCAAAGAGGAATTTCATTAAAATAATTGAACATTGTCATGTTCTAGTTATGAGTCCCAAGTCTCACTGATATCTACCAGTGTTCCTCTATATTTCTCATAATTCCTGGAGAAAGTCTAATTGCCTTCAGTTTGAGTGAGTTGCTCCCATGAAGCCTACAACATGATGGGTTTTATGTCATTTGCTGCTAGCTGGAATAGTCTGTTTTAACTTGCATATTCCTTTAGTGGCTTAGAGCTATCAGAGGTATCCATAGCAATACAGACTCCGAAAATCCATGAGAGGACCTGCAATACTCCTACCTCATCTTGTCAACAGTTCTAGTGTTAGGCGAGTTGTAAAGGAGGTTGAACTGATTCAGTTTCTCTATTGGCCATTATAAAAGATGAGAAGGGAGAACAAGATCAATTTGATTCAATGGCATTTCTAAGTCAGGGCTTGAAAATTTTGAGTGTGTGTGTGTATCCATGTATTCAAGTTTTGGTCTGATTTCCAGGATAAAGGTTAGTTAAAGGATACCAGGGAATCTTTAAAATTATTGTTAGCTAATTCAGTTTTTAAAAAATTATAGCAATTTATTATTTAAAATTGGAAAATATGAGAAATAAAGCACAGCCTCACAGAAACATAAACTACTACCATATTAATATATTTTCTACTAGATGACTTTTCTGTGCACATTTTTATAAAGTTGAGCTTATATGTATGTTCTATTTTATCATGTACTTAAAATATTCTGTGCATTTCTTTGTATTTTTTTAACAATTGTTTTTAATGTCAAAATGATACGCTATTGTAGTTAAATTGTAATGTGATTAGCTGTTTTCTTATTGTTGGACATAGTCTCATATTGATATGAACATTTCATGTAAATAATTCATACTTTTCTCTTTAAGATATGTTTATGAAATGGAATTACAATATTAGTGTTAATATATTTTTAAGGCTCTAGACATTTTACCAAAAGTTTGTACCTTCCTACTAGCAGTATAAGAATATTACATCTCATGGCAATATTGAGTGTTTCCTTAAAGAAGAAAAGTTCTTGTAAATTCAGTAGCAAAACAGAATTTTATTATAATATTATAATATATAGAATTTATTATAATATATTATAACAATATATTGTAACATACAATATATTGTAATATATATTGTTTTATTTTTCCATGGACCTTACTTAAATTATTTTGTTTTATAAAGTCTCCATTGATACAGCAATAAAATATACACTAAAATTAATTTTATTGGATTGATTTAAACATTTTATTTAAAGAAATGTTCTGAAAGTTATAGTTTGATTGGAAAAATAAAAAGCACACGTTTATAGATAGTTATGTAAATAGATTTTCAAAATAACTTGATTTGTTTTGTAGTGCTACTAGTGGAATGAATTCTGCAGAAACATGGTTGTACCTTCAAATCTGAACACRTTACACTTATAGCAAAAAAGAAAAAAATGATAAAAATATAACTCTGAGAAACTTAAATTTTAGTAGACCACATTGGATTTGTTGAAGAATAAGCTCTTTTATTTACCTCTTCAAAGAAGTCATTACTTTTTTCACCTCTTTGTTTGCCTCTCTGTCCTATAAAGAAAATACAAGTGTACAATGAAATTTCACACACTTACTCCGATAATTTTTGGTACTTTGAAATACATTATTGTTCAGTGCAGGCATATTTTTTTTGGAAGGTCATTACAAAGAAACTGTGGATTTCTGATGGCCAAGCATGATCCAGATATATGAAGATATGGGTAATGTGGGCAATTATTCCCATGATCTTCTTGCACCAGATTTGGAGTGGTAGGATTCAGGAAGGGGAAAGCCTTCCATGCAAGCTGACACAATGGATCCACCAGCATGTTAACAGTATTACTGTTTTCTTCTTCAACTATGAGATGTGAAGAAGCCCTAGCCCTACCAGAAAAATGTGAAGAAAACTAAGAGCCAGAAAAATCACGTGTGTGCATGTGTGCACACACACACTCACACACATACACACACATTATTTACCTATGAAGTAGCTTACTTATATTAGAGACAACTATCTTATGAGTCTGTTTTAGAAGGGTGATTAATGTCACTTAAAATATTACAGCAATTAAAACTATAGTCCCTCCCCAGATTAGCATATCCATCATTGTTAAAAACAAATTACACAATACTTTTTATATTTAAGCTTTCTCAGTACACTTCAGGCCAATGAACATGAATACGGCCTCTAGGCAAACAACTTTCAAGCTACTAGTGAAGTCATTATTTCATTCAGCAATATTTTCACACTGCCTTAGACATAGAAATCCCTTTTATTTAAAAAAAAAAAAAAAAGGAACGTTTCTCAGGATCTGAGATTAYCTCCCTAGGGTTAAGAAAAGTCCACATGAATAATAAAAATACTGCAATTTCAAATTTTGGGAATGTAAAGCTGCTTACACATGCCAAACTGTGCTCCAGAGACCTTGGCTGACATTCCCAATATCAAATAGGAGTGTGATGGGCTTAGAGCTCCCTGGTAGGGGACAAAAGACATGTCTATAAATGACAAGGAAGAAGTTACAAATGCCACAAGAAAGAGGCAAGTATGTTAAGCAAGTTCATGAGGGAGTGGAAACTAAGGCCCAAGTTATCGTTTTTTTGGTACCAGGGATTGAACTCAGGGGCACTTGACCACTGGGTCTCACTGAGTTGCTTAGTGCCTTGCTAAATTTGTGAGGCTGGCTTTGAACTTGCATCCTCCTGCCTCCGCCTCCAGAGCCACTGGGATTATAGGCATGTTTCACCATCCCCAGCCAATTCCAGGTGATCTTAATTCTAATTTGTGGCACTGATAAATCATTTTGATGATTAGCAAAATCATTAATGAGCTATATTTCAACATGAACAATCTTTTTAGAGACAGGTAGAATGATATGTAATTCACTTCATTTTGATCTCTTTGGAAAAGAAATTTTTAAAAAATTACTAAGATTATAAGTGGAGACATCACTGGAAGAAAAAGAAGAAGGTAATGTGAGAAATATCTGCTCATGCTATCTTGCTTACTAAAGAAATACTCATACAGCATCCAAATTTCTTAGTTATATTTACTAACAGTCCTACTTATTATTAGTGTTCACACTATTATTTTTATTTGTGTAGAATTAGTGTCTTGATTCTTTCTACCAATACTTACTGAATGGTGCTTACTGAATGGTAATATGCTAGGCAACATACTAACACTAGGGATAAAGTGGTGAATGAAGCAGACTTATTTGCTATTTTAATGGAACAATCACACAAATAACAAATAACGTATAATCACAATGGCACTAAATGATATGAAGGAAATCATGAGGGCCTTTCTTGCCAGGGGGTATCATGGATGTCTTTCCTGAAGCCATGGTATTTATGGTGAGACTTGAAGGATGAGTAGGAGTAAAGCGAGTGAAAGGGGTGAGGGGCTGTGTGGGAAGTGAGTGTTTCAGGAAGAGTGAAGGGCAAGCTCTAAGGGTGAAAGGCAGGGATGAACATGGGGCAAAGGGGAGGGGAGACATGAGACTGGTAGGGGTTAAATCAGAGTCTTGAAGGACATGCTAAAAATGCGGAACTTCACTCTCTCAAAAAGGCATGAGGCAAGGAAGCTGTGAGAGGACAGCTAGGAGGCTCTCATGCCTTGAAGGCCAGGTGAAGGCAGGTGGCACTCTGAGCAGCAGCAGTGGAGAGAGTGAAAAGTGGGGTGGTTTAAAAGAGGGATTCTGAGAACTTGGTGCCCGGGGGTATGTCTGCGCTTGGGGCGGGAGTAGGAGAAGGAGGCATTAAGAATGATTTTCAGGTTTCCCTGTTGGGTGGATGGAGGTACTACTTACTAAGGAGGAAGGTGGAGGAACAGAAGATGCGAAGGCCTGATGGTGAGTTGAGTGTGAGAGGTCTGAGGCCATCTGAGTGGAGATGTCAAGTAGGAAGTTGTGCTAGAGCTCAGAAGAGAGGTCTAGAGATAGAAATTTGAGGACCCCTGGCATAAGTATGGCATTTGAAGCCAAGGAGGACAGGCTTGGGGATGGGGAGAGGAAGAAATAGGAGAGAAGACAAGAGACTTACAGATCAAGGACCAAACTCTGAGCAATGTCAATATTTAGCCTCTTGTGAGAGCTCTAAATTTCATGCATAAAATCTGTAAGTCAAACCAGGGATTATATAGCATTATCATACTGTATTCTAATATTACATTATAATATGAATGAATGATTGTATGTAACTGACATCATTCAGGAAAAATGTGAAAGACAGTAGGGTTCCCATCACCAACACACAGCAAGCAACTAGAGGGACAAAAATCTGATTTCTGCTGAAAAAAATTACCTAAAACTTTGTCTTCTGGAAAAYTGCTACTGAGATTGTACCATTTTGTACCCCCTATTGACTTACAGAACCTAATAAGGGATTTGAGTTAGAAGGGCAATCAACCCTGTTGGGAATTCCTAATATCCAGAAAATATATATCTGCAGCCCAGGACCTTGCTCATGTGTCTGTGGAAGGGACTCAGTGATCCTCTTTAGAGACATAGACATCCCCCAACCCTAAGGTTCCTTGGCAGATCTTGTGTCACTTCCCATTTTCAGCCTCATTTCCTACAAATGCCCTGAGCACTCCTTCCACCCCAGGCAAACAAATCTTAGCTTTCTCACTTCTGTGCCTCTTTCATGACATGCAACATGCTTTACTAACACTTCCTCATTACACAAACCTTTTAAAAACCACCTCTAATGTCACCTAACCTCTTCTAGGAGAAATAATTTTCCCATTTTCAAACTTTCCATAACCAATTATTTGTACCTCTCTTAGCACTTCATGCCTTCTACTTTAAATCTCAGTCACTTGGATGTATACCATATGTTCTCTCAGGCCACAAGCTCCTAGAGGGCAACAGGAGTCTTACTTGTTTACATTCCAGATCATGACCAACAGTGGAACCTGCACTCCTTCAACACAGAAGAGCAAAGTTTTTCCAGATATCTTTTTTTTTTTTTATGAATCAGAGGATGATGATGTTTGGTGGTATGAGAAGGGAACAAGAATACCTTTACCTATTTCCATCTGTTCCCACAACACCAGGCAATGACTCAGAGAAGCAGAGACTGAACTGTGAATCCTGAAGCATGCCTAAACCACATAGCATACCTAGAAGTCTGAATTTTAGGATAAAAAGTCAAGAGGCAATGCTGTAGTTACTTTTCCATTAGTGGAAGGTGTCAAAAAAACAAAGAAAATGTTAATACACACCTTTAATCCTTTTGATGGCCTTGAATAATCTAAGTTTGTTTGCTGCCTACACAGTTTGATCGCTAGCTCATGTGCTGTCTGCCCTCCTTCCCAGTTGGGCTTGATCCATTCTCTGTAGTTTTACAACTAGCAAGCATCAGGATGTTTTATCTGCTAGCCCATGACTTTCATGTCCCTTAAAAGATTCAAGTGGTCTTCTAGTGATAGTTAWTTTTCAGAACCATTGCAAATTTTAAAACTTCACAGTACATGTAAAATCCAGGTCAAAATGTCTTAGTGTTAAAGAAAATGCCATCACAGAAGCAGAAAATGTAAGAGTGATTGTCAGCATCTCCCTATTTCCTCTGGGATGGTCAAAAGGTACAAACTTTCAGTTGGAAAGTGAATAAGTTCTGGAGATCTAAGGCACAGCCTGTGACTGTAGTTAATAATATTGTAGGGTATGCTTGAAATTTGCTAAGAGAGCACATCGTAAGTATTTTAAACAATAATAAAAAAGGTAACTGTATGGCGATGGAAATATCAGCTTCAATGTGGCAAGAACTTCATAGTGTACACATATATCAAAACATCAAGTTGTACACCTTACATACAAATACTTGTATATGCCAATTATACCTCAATAAGGCTAAAAATGTCAAATTTATTTTTATTTTTTATTTTTTCAAATTTAATAAATAAAGAAAATTCTAAATATACTAAGTCAGTTGTTCTTATTTTAAGCTTGAATAGTACTGATAAGACACCATCACTCATTGTCACTAGACTTACCTCTTTGGTAACAACAGGAAGTAATAATGCCAAATGACAGACCTTCCAAGCATTCTGATTTTCATGAAGATCTATATAACACTGGAAATGAAAAAAGTCATTTTAAAGGTAATTGCATTTTTATGTAATGGATTCAAAGTGATCTTTAAATAGTGTTCTTCATTACCTTAGCCAAATACATATAATTGGGCACAGAGTAACCAGGGTGTAGRTCTTCAGCCTAATTTAAGAGAAAACAGATAAGAGGATAACAGGACAGTATTACAACAACAGCCACAAGTGATGAGGATATATTTCAATAAGTAAGATTATTAACATAACTGCTCTAAGAACTTAGGCTGGTTGTTCACATTTGAATCATCTTATCAATTTAAGTGTCTTTTGGGCATAAACATGGCTTTTGCATTTAACCATTAAAATGAAATTGATTAGTATGGTCATAAAGCTGACAAAGCATTGAGACACTTTAAGTTTTTAAATTCCTTAACATAATCATTACCTTCACTCTTTTTTGTCTATGCTTTCTTTTTTCCTTTCAACAACAAAAGCAACTGGTGATATATTCACTGCAAGGCAGGTCCTATACATTTCACACACTTGAGGTAATGAGAGAAGAGCATGATTGGTAACAATGGCAAGCATCTTCCATGAGATTAATATTTAACTTTTATGATTTCAACACAGTCTATATGAGTTGGATAATACTTGAAGTCCATCACAGCAAGTCCTTTTGAAGGAAAAACAGATTCTTGACACACTAGTCCTAATAGTAGACTACCTACATAAATAGGACATGCATCCTACCAGACCTTCTGTTAAATAGAGGGAAAAAAAACGGTTTTTGAAAGAAAACTTAAAATGGGATCATTTTCTGCACATGAGTTCAAAACTTTATTTTACCTACAAGAATCAGACACATTTTAATGTTAGTATATACAGACCTACTCCATTGTTCATACTGTGGATATGCCTTAATTAAATGAAGGATTCCCCAGTAGACATTTAGATTTATTCTCTATTATCCCCAATAACAATCAGTGAGCATACTTGTACCCATGTGCTTATGTACATGTGTGATTATGTCTATAGAAGAGACTTCTAGAAGTTGAATTGCTGAGTTGAAGAAGGTGTGTGTGTGTGTGTGTGTGTGTGTGTGTGTGTGTGTGTGAGACCAAGTTAGGGTGCTGAAGGGTGCTGCAATATCTTAACAGAGCATATTCCTTGTAAAAGACACCATTAAGACACTTTATTCCAAAAGGAGGAGGAGGACCGTATCTCCCGGGCTGGGAACTCAGCCTGGGTACAATTTTTAAAGATCAAGTAGTTGACCAATGTGTGGACCTGTGTAGAAGGGAGACCAACAGATTAAAGGAAGCTGTCAATTCAGTTCTAGCCTGAACTTTGAATGTAGAGCCATCTGTGGTGCTGATGGATTCTGGTTCTCCTGCTTCTTCTCTTGTCTAATTATTTTCACTTCAACATTTCTAGTTTAGTAAATACATTTCTTGAGCCATCCTAACAAGGATAGAATGAACTTTGTCCAACTGTACCTGCTTCTATGTTCAGTAGTTGTGTCAGCTCTGTCCAATCCCATCTGGGATTGAAACACTAGTCCTAATAGTATGCACGTAGGCAGTTTATTTCTTCAATGCTGGCGTTTTAATTCTGCATACTTTACTTTAACACCTGTGTTTAATTAGCCAAAGTGATTAGAAATTGAAATACTTCTTTTTGTTCTCATAGCTAAAAACAAATGAAACCCAAAGGAATACAGACTATTGGCAACACTGAATTCCTAAGCTGGAACAGATTCTAACCATTTACTAAAGCCCTTAGATGAATTACAAGAAGGGAAACAACATTTAGTATTATGTTCTAATTAAGGAGCAGTTTCTAAAGAGGCTCTGATAACACTCTTTATTACAACACTTGGCAAAGACTGCTGTACATGTTTACCTGGCTGTCCAAGTTCCTTGAGGGCAGGAACTGTGTTGGTCATTTCTGTATTTCTTGCATCTAACTGTGTTTGACATTAGTGTGTTTGTCTAATGTGTTAAGCACTATGTGCTTAATAAACACTGTTGAGTAAATAAATTTTGCTTTAAAACATCTCATAATTTCAGGAAGTTGCCTTATACCATATCAGGACATAGAAGAAAGCTCTACAGCTGGTAAAACAACTAATAAAGACTCATGGATTATATGATTGCAAAAAGTATGTGAAATCATGTTTCACATACTGTTCACCAATATTGCCACATCTCCCTATATGTATTCACCCTATAGTTTAGTAATTCCCAACCCTCCTATAGGTTACTACTGACATCACCTTGAAAGCTTTAAAAAAACTGGTCAAGTTGTAAAACCATATGATCCACCAATTCTACCCCCAGGTACATACCCCAGAAAAATAAAAACATGTCTATACATAAGCTTATAAATGAAAATTTACAGAATATTCATAATAGGCCCAAACTGGAAACAAGGCAAATATTGACCAATAAAAGGTTGTGGTATATCTACATAATGGAATATTACTCTGCAATGAAAAGATTTACTGATAAACTCAATAAAATGAATGAATCTAAAAATACGTTGAGTGAAAGAAGCCAGATATACACAAAAGTACAAGTTGTATGAGCAGATTAGTGGTTACCTTGGTGGGGAATAAGAAAACTGACAGCAAAGTGTAAAAGATAACTCACTGGGGTGATGGAAATACTATTTTTTAAAATGGTGATGGCTATATGGGGATAAAAATTTGTCAAACTTCTCTGAACTGTATACTTAAAATGAATGTGATTTATTGTCTATAAACCATATCTTGACATAGCCAGTGATTCTGAAACTAATAGTCTGAGTAATGGCATTGGATACGTATTTCAAAGCTCTCAGGTGATTTTAATGCATTGCCCAGGGTATGAATCACTGCCCCAGAGAATCAGCCAGAATTTTGGATGAGGTGGGAAACATTCTACAGCTTAAAAGAATTCCCATAACGGATTCACAGATGATGATCAGTCTAAGATTCTTGGAAGCTGAGGAGGATCAGATTTCCCATTATGAGAGTAAAATAACTGTAGCTGATRTTTCTATTTGGTTAGAACCTTTAACATGCTAGACCCTGGGCCAAGATCATTAGATGTATTATTTTATGTCCTTACACAAACCATAAAAAGTAGGTATTACCATGCCCACTTAACAGATGAAGAATTTGAGAGTAGGAGAAATTTAAAAAATGTGTTTCAGATCATACAGACAGGAAAATGCTTGAGTCCTAGCTTCATTTGTCTGACTCTAAGTCAGTGTTCTTGACCTCTACTGCACCCTATTGGGTGGCTCTGGAGACCCATTCCTGGAACCTGTGAACTTTCTGTGGAGGAATGGATTGGGAACAGGAATTCCAACATGGGCTTCTGTGGGAACCAGGGACTCCTGTGGGACTCTCCTTAGGTGTAGAATCCAAGGCCTGTGCTATTTCTTTGTCCTCCCAACCACTCCCAGGATGAGTTCCTTCTTTCCTTCATAGCCTTACCCCTCAGCACTTGTTCTTCAGTACCCTCAGCTGTTGAAGTAAATATGGAGAGAAGCATTCCTTGTGCTTTCTCCCTTCTTTTTGACAAACACTATAGAACWCATTTTTATATAGAATCTAAATAATGATCAAATGGTAGGGTTCCCAAGATAGTTTTCCCAGATGTTTAAAATTTTTAATAAGGTTAAAATTCTGAGAGTTTTTTTTTTTTTAGTAAATTAAGCACATACTAGGTGCTAGACACACTCTAAGCAATTTACTCTTATGAATGTATTTAATCCTCACAACACCACTATCAGGTAGGTACTATTATCTCCATGCTGTTGATTAAATTGAAAGAGACAGAGGTTTAATAATTTGCCAAATGTTAATCAGCCCATAAGTGGTAGAGCTGATTGAACCAGGTACTCTAGTTCCAGAATCTGTACTACTAATCTCTATGCTATTGTGCTGATAACCATGTTTGATTTTATCTGTGTATTATTTCAGGCATATTAGCATCTTCTAAGAAYTTTTTTACAGTGTTATGAAAATCTAATTTCCAAACATAACTGTGATATTATGAGGAATGAGTTTTAATTTCAAATACATTTTTTCTAATTAACTTGGTATCTTTTGTATAAATCATCTATCTTAAATCTACCATGATACATATTCTTATAGAATTTAAAATGAAAGAACTAATTCTCAGTGATATAAAAATATGAAAGAAATGAAGATGTTGTACTCTTTGACTTCATTCATATATTAAATCGAGTCTTCAATCGTCACTGTGTGAAACTGGACAAATTAGTTGTTCCTTGATTCCCTTTTCCTAAAACAAAAAGATCACTTAAATAAAAAATAAAAGAGTAGTCAGTGTGCTTTTATTTACTACACTCTCTTTGTTGGGCTTGTGTTTGATCTCAGAACACTTAATTTTTCACAAAGCCCTCCAGGTAGCCACTGGCCATTGGTCAGAGATSGCAAAAGAAAGAAAGCCTATTTGCCACCTCAGACTCCTGATGTCTAAATTCCCTTTCTATTTTACAAAATATATCTCTAAAATACAATGCAAATACTGSCACTGGACAATACAATTGAGAGCCTGGTTTTACTTATATTTTTATAAATCCTGAATTAGGTTGGTGGAGAAAGAAACAACATTTAGTACAGGCTGAGTATCCCATATTTAAAGTGCATGGGACCAGGAGTGTTTTAGCTTTGATTTCTTTATTAAATTTTGAAAAACGTGTATAGACTTTACCTTCTAGTAGAGTATCCATAATCCAGAAACTCCAAATCCCTAATGCTCCAAAATCTGAAACTTTTTGAGAAATGATATGATGGTGCTCAAAAATTTTGGATTTTGCATCATTTTGGAACTCTTGAGTTTTAAATTAGGGATGCTCAACCTGTAACTATAAGATTTTATAATTTGCTCCAAAGAAAGGCAAAGGATTAGCCCTATAGAAAGTTGATTATATGGGTGGATATATTACACATTTATTAACATATGTTCATATTTACATACTATTTAAATTTGTATTAGCATAGCAATAATGTATTGTAATACTGGAATAAAAATACTGGTTGAATCTGATGCCCCGAGAATCCTCCCTAGAAGTGTGTCTGCAGCTTAGAAGGTGGTTATTAAAAATAACTTCCTTTTGGTATCTTTTAGTGCTTTGAAAAGATGAAACTGGTTCTATATTAGGCTCACCGGGAGTACTGGGAACAAGTCTGATAATCAGGTATGACTGCTTCTGCACATGCTCACATGATTTGGGGAGCTGCTTCTGGATTTGGTAGTAAAGGCTGCTATACTTAAACCTTCATTTAAGCTGCTAAATTATTTTTATAAAGCAGCTTGTCATTACCAGGATCTAGGGTATATGCAGCTGCTTTAGAAGTTTGAGTAGAAATGTAACTTGTACCATGAAAGGCTTAAAAATAGAACATTCCAAGTCTAGGATTCAAACTGAAGCTTCATTTGGAGATCTACACGTGGAAAAGAGGAAGACTTCCTTGACAACAACGATCACAGGGACTGGTACAGATGGCAGCCAATTTGATACCAAAATAACAGATAGATAAAATATACCTTAAGGAAGTTGTGCAAAGCTTCTTGTACATTTGAAGATGGTATTTTTCCAAAAAGAGTAGCAGCCATCTTTTTCTCAATCCAGCTGAGTTTTGATATCTGCAAGTACAGAACATTACTCTCAAAAGTTGTTCACCTTTTGAATGGTTAATCTCTCCCCAGTTATATGTATGTATGTATATGTATGTACTTATAAATAAAAATACCCATAAATAACACATGAGAGATATCAYACTTCTGATATTAATATTAATTTTGCTTCCCTTTCCAATAATTATTTTTGGTCAGGCACTGGGGATTAAACCCAGGGCCTGATGCATAATAGGCAAGTGCTCTACCCCAGAGCAACATCCCAAGCCTCTTTTCATAATCCTAACAAGCCATGAGCTCCAGAAGCACTGGTTTTGAAACCAGATTGGAATACTCATATAGATTGGAGAATAATATCCAATCCTCTTTGTTCATCTGATTTGATATAAGTGCAGAGTACTTCTTTGCCTAGCACTTACTAGCTATGAAGCTCAGCCTTACTTTTTTTCTGCCTACTCTTAGCTGCCMACCTGCCTCCTAAATCAGAAGCAGCATCTCAGAATGGAAATAGAATAAGGAACCTCAACTCAGAAATGGTGCAGAGGGAGGGTCCGGTATACTTATTTAAACCAATAACCAAACAAACAAATTTCATACTCCATATAGTTTTTGCTTTCTCTTAAAAGTTTTTCATTTTTTCAAATATGGATATTAGATGTTTGCAATTAAAGATTAAGCTCGTTCAGAAATGAATACTTGAAGGGTATTGATGTAGCTGATAATTCCTAAACTCCATTGAACAACTTCTTTCTTATTCCCATCTTCTAGATTTCTAGGTAATAATTACCCTCTACTTAAAAATTATTTGCATTTCAATATAATTTTACTTATTGATATGCTTATTTCACTTGATTTGAAGTTTGTAAAAAATGATATTATACTGTTTATTTCCTTTTATGATGTGGTTTTTCTCACTTAATATTATGGTTTTAAAATTTCATCCAAGTTAATTAGAGTAACAGAAATCCAGTCCATTAAATAACTTTTAAAATGTGAGGTTTAATATGCATAAATTCTAATGTTTATGAGTGTGTTCTTGTTCTATTAACAAAAGAGGTAGATGAAGTCTATCAATAGATGGTAGGTTTGTATGTTTATCTTTATAATTTGGTCAGCTTTCATTTTATAATTTTGAGGCTGTTATTATGAACATACTAGTTTAGAAATTCTTGGTGAATTGAACTTTTTATTATTGTATAGTTATTCTTTTTATCTCTAGATATAATTTTGCCTTAAAATTTATATGGTGTGTGTATGCACATGCCTGTTTAGCAGTTTTATTTTGATTGCTATTTGATATATTTTTGCATGGTTTAATTTCTATAATTTATGATCACATGTGTTTCTAAAATTAGCTTTAAAAGTGGTGGCTCACAGCCTCCTCTGTGACTTGGGATGCTGAGGAAGRAAGATTGCAAATTTGAGGACAATCTTGGCAATTTAACGAGACCTTGAATCAAAATATAAAACAAAAATTACTGGGAATGTAACTCAGTGGTAAAGCACCCTTGAGTTCAATTCTCAGTACCCAAACAAAACAAAAACAAAATACAAACAACAAGAATTATAAATTAAAAAAAATGAAAAATGAAATCAGCTTTATTACAGTATAATCTAAATAAACTAAAATTTCATCTATTATAGGTCTATCACTCAATGAGTTCTGCTAAATGTATATAATCCTAAATCACCAAAACAATCAATATATAGGACAYTTCCATCATCCCCAAAAGTTCTCTCATGCCCCTTTGCAGTCAATCTCCTTATCCAGTTCCTGCCGCAAGGCAACTACTGATCTATGACTTACAGTTTGTCTTTTCAAGAATTTCACACCAATGGAATATACATTATATACTCTTTAATGAGTCTTTTTGGCATAATTCTTTGAAGATTCATCCATGTTGTTATGCTGCTAAAGCTGCTGTGAACATTCATGTATTAGTCTTTTATGAATATATATTTTCATTTGTCTTATTAAATACCTAAAAATTGCTCTACCATTCATGAATGAATTTATTTAATATTCATATATTCCCACCACAATATGTGAGAGTTCTAGTTGCTCTATATCCTTGCCAACACTTGCTATTGCCTGAATTTTTAATTTGAGTCCTTTAAGTGAGTATATAGAGGTTCTCTGTTTTCCAAGAACTAATAATAATAATAATTATCTTCTAATGTGTTTACCTGCCACTCCATAACATTTATTTATAAAGTGATTAAATTGAAATTTGATCTAGAAAACAAACATATGCATTTTTAGTGCATTAGGAAATACTTTTAATTTACTCATTTTTCATTTAATTTTATGGATAAAATTAAACATCCAGTGTTGGATGAAATGCTATAATTAGAAGAGGTAATGTTATACAAACTTCCTATCCTAGAGTAAGAGAAAAGATTTATCAAGTTCTTTAGTGAGTTCTAGCTTGTCTTATTGCAAAGCCATAAACTAACCCAGCTTATACTCAGAAAATAGCTTTGAATTTTACTAAAGCTGCGMATCCATTTTCCCTTTAATTCTTCTTATTTAAAAATAATACACTGTATTTAAAAAGAATACACTGTATATTGCTGATTAATATCCTGTATTCTATGTTTCCAAAATCTAAAGTCCTTTTAGATCTACTACTGTTCTGGTTTGTTTGTTTGGTTTTTGTTTTGTTTTGTTTCCATTGATTGTTATTCCTCTTGGCTTATTTCCTTTTATAGTCTATAATTTTTGACTGTGAGCTCATCATTGTTGGGACACTTTGTGTGAAAGTTTTACAAAGTCTCTGTGAAAGTACAATTTTCAGGAAGGAACAGAATTTGCTTCTGTCATTGGCATATGGATCAGGGCTTGTTTTGAATTAAAGATTCTTTCTTGGGTTTTTAAGCCTAAACAAATTTTGTACATTCAAGCCCCAGACTCATGTGAGGTTGGGTCAATGGCTTGTAAGTCTCAGGAGTTTCCTTCCTTCCCTTCCCTCTTCCCCATTGTCAAGACTGAGAATGAATAGTCATTGCTATAAGCTTCTGCTTCTGCTGAATTTTATTCATGTTCACCTTTTTATTTTCCCTAGGAAAAGCATTTTTTGAGTCTTAGATAAACTGTGGTACTCTTCATATACTTTCTGCTCTGTTTAGGCCCACAGTCCCTCAATCCCCAACAAAGATCTGCTCACCAGGCTTAAAAAATACTTTTGGGTATCAGGTGGTTTCATGGCTGCTTTACCTGTCCTCAGAGCTGGTGTTCTTGGCCTCTGGATCTTCCTTTCCCTTTCCCCTTACCTTTCTCTCTTTCTTTCTTTTTCTTTTACTGATCTGATTAGAAACACACACACACACACACACACATACACACACACACACACACACACACACACACACACACACGGCACATATACATACTTTAAGATATTTTGTGGCCAGAAAGTTTTAAGTTCTCTAGTCTATATATGCTAGAAATGATCTTTATACATTTATTCACACTTCTATTTCCCCTGCTGGAATGAATTCCAACTTATTTCTTGCGCAACTCATATTTATCACCTGTACTTACAATTTGTAGGAGAACATACTACTAAAAAGCAAAGACTTTGGGAACAAACTGCCTCTGTTCAAATCCTATTCTGTATCACTTATTAGCTAAATGGCCCTGGGCAAATCAATTACCTTACAGGGTGTTGGAAGAAATAAATAAGCTAAAATAAATAAATTATTTTTAAATGTATAAAATGCTTATAAGAACCATGCAAATATTAGCCTTATTACTATTGCTTTTAAATATTCTTGGTTTTCAGTATTTTTCTCTACTTTTAATTAACACTGCTAGATGAAAAGAAGTCTTCCCACAGAACCACAAGTAGTGTTCCTATATACAAAGTGAATCAATCAATTATTCAAAAACAAATACTTGTACAGAAGCTTAAGTGTGAAGAACTGAGCTTGATGATGAAAAGGATATCAAGAAGTGTAAAATGTAGGTTTTCTACTCAAGGAGAGTTCAGATAACTTAGGATCAACTGAAAGTAAATAGTAAATAAAAATGTGAGTTGTTAAAAGCCAGTACAGCCTAGCAAAAGAATGGTATATTTAATAGTGCAGTACTACAGGGAATGGAGACATCATCCTGTGTTTTARAACATTATATTGATTTATAAAAACATGAGTGCTAAAAATCATTCTATTTGACTCTGCAGTCTCACAACTAGGCTAAAATGGGAAAAATGGGTTATTTACTTTTTTTCCTTTTTCTTTATTAAAATGTAAGTTTCCTTCCTATGTTACATAATATAAAGAATGTGATTTTGGGAATTAAGCAAATTTTAATTTCAATGTTGGCTTTTTCATAGACTAATAAATTAGGACTGTGGGGAAGTTTTTAACATCACAAAGACTCAAATTCTGAACTGTTTAGAACTGGAAGAATAATTGCTTTACAGGACTATTTAAGGATTAAGGCAACAAAAATAAACTATAAAATATACATTTAATCTTCAGCGGGTGGGCAATAAAAGCAAATTTCTTTACCTCTATTCCTCTTTCAGTCTTAAAAAGAAAATCACCTCTTTTGTCCACCCTAATGTTCACACTTACAAATAGCATTTCCCTTTCATGGTAACTTTTCCATGTACCTGTTAAGATACAGTTCCACATTCAGTTACTTCTGTAAACTAATGATGCCATTTTAGACACTGGGTCTAAGGCTGACCAGCTGCTTTCTTTGAGCACTGTCTCATATCTCTTCTAAATTAAGTTCCTTGAAAACAAACATAGTGTTCTATTCATCTTTTGGTCAGTTAGCCAGAACATAATTTATGTTCAATAAACACTGCTGGATGAAAAGAAGTCTTCCCACAGAACCACAAGTAGTGTTCCTATATACAAAGTGAATGCATATGGGTGGTTGATGCCAACCCAAGAGATCACAAAGTGAGACAACTACAAAAATCATGCATGTTTATACATATATAAACAAATTTCAAGTTTTAAAGTTATAACATATGCATTACAATTTTAAAATAGTATACAAATTATACATTTATGCACAATTATAAAAACATAAGCACTCATACAAAATTTATGCTGATTTTATAGTCTCCCTACAATTGGCACCCAGTAAACATAATGAATAAGTTATCTCTCTATCATACACTCATAGTGCATTTAAATAAGATTTATAAATATAGGCATTCAACTTACAGTGTAACAGTATCTTCCCTTGAGGTAATACACAAAGGGTTCTTCAGGTAAAAGTGTGATTGCTATATCTAGATGTTCCTGAAAGAAATATCCAAAGGAAAAGTCATCTTCTAAGTTTCAGATATTACTGAATGGAGCTGTACTAACTCCTAGTAAAAGTAAACTCTAAAGTGACTTAGAGTGTTGTCTCAGAGGCTTCCTTACCCCAACCATTAATATAATTAAATGATGACCCTGAGGGGTTATTTATTGGGCTATAATAACTAAAGGCAAATAATAAGTGATGTGTGCGTGAATTACTTATTTTGTTCATCTATTGCTGCAAGGTTAAACTTTATATTGGACCCTATCTGCTCCTGCCAAGTTCATATGTAGATTGTAATTACGCTCAGTCTACTTATGATGTTGATAACTTAGCTCACAACTAAGAGGTTAACTCTATATCTTTGAAAAAAAAATAGCACTCATTTCCTATGTGACTTATTTCCAGGATTTGGAATAATAATAATATTTAATTGCCCAAATAGTTTGATTCTTTTTTGTCACAGTACAGCTTAAAGAGTGCCATTTCATTTCCTGCTCACAATTTAAACAACATAAATATTCCCAGAGCTTAATTTGTTGAATAATCTGATTTATATCTGTTAATTAAACATATAACTACATTACAGCATTTTTAATGTCGATAAATACCTTGAAGCAATATCCATAGTTGACTTTGTTTTGTAAGCCCTCAAACTCAGACACCTGGCCACACAAAACTGCATACCTGAAAAGGATCAAAACAGTGGTTTTCAAGTAAAATTTTAAATCAAATACTACCAAAACATAACATTTAAAAAGCATTGTTAAAGCATTCATTAATATTTAACATGAAAACAATAAATACTTGACATTAAGATAAGGTCATTTTCCTCAACCTTTCCTGGAAATAGTGTTATTAGAATTGTGTATCCCATGAATGATGTACTTTATTCTTCTGAAAATAAAAAAAATACATAAATGATTATGTGACAACAAACTGAACATAATATTTGTTCAGCAATTTGCCTATTTACTCTTGGGGGAAAAAATGAAAAGCAGATTCCCAGAAAAAGTCTCTCAAACTCCTTTATGAAATAGCCATGGTAACTTTAGGCCTCAATGTGTTTTCTTTTGTCATCATCTTTTTAAAACATAAAAAATTTTAATACACATTTTATGGAACACTTTTAGGTTTATAACAAACTTGAGCAGAAATACAGAGTTCCCAAATACTTCCCCATGTAAAACACAAAAACCAAAAAACTCCTCCATTAGCAATATCCTGCATGAGGTACATTTGTTAAAATCAATGATCSTTGATTTCATGATACATTTGCACATCATTATTACCCAAGGTCAATAATTTACATTAGGGTTCACACTTGGTRTTCTACATTTTTCTGTCTTTTCCAGAAAGTTTGACCTTTTCCAGAATGTCATATAGCTGGAATCATGCAGTGTGCAGTCTTTTCAAATTGACTTCTTTTACTTATTAATGCACTTAAGCTTCCTCCAGGTTTTCATGGCTTGACAGACCATTTCTTTTTGGTGATGAATAATATTTCATTACCTGGATGTACTACAATATAATTACCCATTCACCCAATGACAGATATCTTGGCTACTTCCACGTTTGGGCAATTATGAATAAGGCTGTTATAAGCATTCATATGCAGACTTTTGTATAGAAATACATTTTCAATTCTTTGATAAATACCAAGGAGTATAACTGTGGATATTATGGCAACAATTTAGTTTATAAGAAACTTCCAAGTTGTCTTCTAAAATGGCTGTACCATTATACATTTCCACCAGCAGTGAATAAGAATTCCTATTGCTTCACATCCCTGTCAGCATTTGGTGTAGTCAGGGTTTTGGATTTTGGCTGTTCTAATAAGTATATGGTGGTATCTCACTGTTGATTTAAAGTTCACTGATGACATATCATGTTGAACCTCTTTTACTTACTTACCATCTATACAACTTCTTCGGTGAAGTGTCCATTCAGATTTTTTTTCTATTTCTTACTTGTGTTGTTTGTTGCCCTAATGTGAAATTTAAAGTAATCTCTGTACATTTTGTATAAYAGTTCTTTGTCAGATTTTTWAAAAAATATTTTCTCCCAGTCTGTGGCCTGTTTTCTAATATTCTTTAAGTTGTCTTTCATTTTAAACTCCAATGAAACTTGGTTTATAAATTATTTCTTTCATGGAGTGAATCTTTGGTGTTGTATATAAAAAGCCACCGCTATACCCAAGGTTATCTAGGTTTTTGCCTATGTTATCTTTTATGAGTTTTATAAGTTTTGCATTTTACATTTAGGTCTATAATCATTTTGAGTTTTTGTGAAGGATATAAAGTCTACACTCTCATTATTTTTTGCATATGGATATCTAGTTGTTCCAGCACTATTTTTGGAAGATTATATTTATTTCTCTGTAAAAMACTATTTGACCATATTTATATGAGTCTATCCTGAGTTCCCTGTTCTGTTCCACTGATCTTTTTTTTTCCCTGCAATGTCATGCTGTCTTGATTACTATAGCTTTATAGTAAGTCTTGAAGTTGAGCAGTGTTAGTCCATTGGCTTTGTTTTCCTTCAGTATTGAATTAAGTCTTTTTTCCTCTCCATATAAACTAAATTTGTTGATATCCATAAAATAACTTGTGGRATTTTGATTGGGATTGTGTTGAATCTATAAATCAACTTGGGAAAAAACACTGACATCTTGACAATATTCAGTCTCTTTTCATGAAGATGGAATATCTCTCCATTTTTTTCATTCTTTGATATCTTCCATTGGAGTTTTATAGTCTTTCTCATATAGATATTGTACATATTTTGTTAGATTTTTACAAATATTTCGGTTTTAGGTGTGATAGTACAAATGTTAATATATTTTAATTTCAAATTTCACTTGGTCATTCCCAGTATACAGGAAAGCAATTTACTTTTGTACTTAACCTTATATCCTGCAACCTTGTCATAACTATTTAATTTCATGAGCTATTTTGTGAATTCTTTTGGATTTTCTACAAAGACAATTATGTCATTAGGAAATAAAGACATTTTTATTTCTTCACTCCCAATCTATATACTTTTCATGTCTTATTGCATTAGCTATAACTTTTAATAGAATGTTGAAAAACTGGTGAGAAGGGGCATCCTTTCCTTGTTACTAATAGTAGATTATTTTAATCCAGGAAAGCAAATTTCTCACCATTTATGTATGAGGTTAACTGTAGGATTTTTGATGTTCATTATTGTTATGGTTTGGATGTGAGGTGTCCTCCAAAGCTCATGTGTGAGACAATGCAAGAGCATTCAGAGGGAAAATGATCAGGTTGTGAGAGCCTTAACCCAATCAGTGAATCATCCCTTGATGGGATTAACTGAGTTGTAACTAGAGGCAAGTGAGGTATGGCCAGAACAGGTGGGTCATTGGGGCCATGGATTTAGAGTATATATTTGTATCTGGCAAGTGGAGATATCTTTCTCTCCTTTCTGATTATCAGGTGGGCTGCTTCCACTGAGTCACAACCCTAGTCCTGTTTTCAGGTTTTTACAYGAATAAATGTTGGATGTTGTTAAATGCTCTGAATCTATTTATATGATCATGTTATTTTTATTCTTTGATCTGTTAATGTGATATATTAATTGATTTCAAAATTCTGAATCACCACCTTGCATATCCCTGAGGATAAATTCCAYTTGGTTGTAGTATATAATTCAATTTGCTAATATTGTGTTGAGAATTTTGGATCTACATTCATGAGATACCAACAAGTGGTTTTCTTATAATGTTTTTGTCTGATTTTGACATTTGAGTTGTGCTGGCCTCATAGAATGAATTGGAAAATATATAATCTGCTTCTTTATTCTGAAAGAGATTGTAGAAAATTGTAGTAATTTCTTCCTTAAATATGTGGTAGAATTTACCAGTGAACTCATCCAGGCCTAATGATCTCTCTTTTTGAAGGTTATTAATTATTTATTCCATTTTTAAATATRGATATAGGCTTACTTAGATTGTCTATCTATCATGTTCTTTTGAAATGCCCCCTGTTATCATACCACCACAAAGAGTTCTAGATTGTGGAGTAATCCCAATCCTTCCAAAATTCCCATAACTACCTGTACAAGCTCCCTCTTGTTGTTATAAGAATTATGATTTTCCAACTTATTTGCACTTAAAACCTTTGGTCACTTCCTATTAAATATATCTTTCTCAATAGAAATAGCTTTAGATTTACAGAAAATTTGCAGATAGTACAGATAGTTCCCATATAACCCACACATAGTTGTCCCTGTTGTTAATACCTTACATTACTATAGTAAATTTGTCATAATTGCACCAATATTTTTATGCAACATTGATAGGAAATTGTCACAATATACCTTTATTAATATGCTATTATCAATTAAACTGCATACTTTATTAAAATTTAGGTTTTTCTCTAATGTTATTAGGCATTTCTGACACTATTCTCTCCATCTCTCCACCCACATTTCTATTAATTCACATTCTATTAGGTATAATTTTTAAAATTTTTGATGTTTTTTTTTCAGAGATATAGAAGGAGGTTTATTTAGGTAAGTAGATATATATTCAAAGGAGATTAAGGACAATCCCAAGAGATATCTCTTGGATCAAAAGGAGGAATACACATTCAAAGAAGAATGTGGGATATCTCTAGGTGAAAAGATTAGGTTATAATTTTAATCATGTCAAAATATTTTGAATTACTATTGCCATCCATCATATACTCTGTTCCTTTATTTTAGGTTGCAGATAACCTTTTGTAAGCATACMTTCTATATCTTAATCCACTGACAAAATTTCTAAACACCTTAGGGTCTAAGATATATAGACTTCACCTAGAATAACCCCCACATTCACAATGATCTTTAAAAAACAGAGCTCAAACCCTTCAGGTAGCATGAGTAACCTCATCAACTTGCCTACACATCTATTTCTTGTCTTAGGGATAGAATGCCTTGCTTAAATCCACATATACTAGGCTGATTTCCCTACTTCAACTACTAGCACAGCAATAAATAAATAAATAAATAAATGTGTGTGTGTGTGTGTGTGTGTGTGTGTGTGTGTATAATGTTGCATTTTAGGAATATCTGCGTTCAGTCTACTTAATTTTACTTTCTCATCTAGAGAGTTATAAAACAACTCAACTACCTCGTTGTGCTAAAATTAAAGAAATAATTTATAGAAATGGGTTTGATTTTGTATTTTCTGGAAACCAGAACTACTTCTGCACATCTCTAAGCTTTTATTTTGCTTTCTCAACACATTCTCTCCAAGTTACTCAAGTAAAGAAAAAAGAACAAAAAACCCATGGTTTGCATAAATATTATATATTATAAATAAATATTATTATATATTATTTTCCCTTTTAAATAATTTGTCACTGAGTCTTGTTTTTTTTTTTGGAAATTTGTTTCTTTCAAATCTAAAACATTATTTATCTTCTTACATATTATGCATTCAGGGTCACGTGGCTACCTTCTACCAAAAAGGTCATCAATTCTTTTCTATCAATTCTACCTAAGTGTCTTTTATAATATTGTTTTATATATATATATATATATATATATATATATATATATTTTTTTTTTTTTTTTTTTTTTTTGGTACCAGAGATTGAACCCAGGGGCACATAACCACTGAAGTATTTTAGCCTGGTCTGACAAAAACAACAGAATAACATAGAAAGTTTAAGCAGCCTTAAAGTCACAAAGCAATTCATTTTGGAAAATATAAAGATGAAAATTATATCTTTAAGGTGATTCCTGATTTATTAGTTGTTACCTATTATTAACCCTTAATGAAAATTATCCTTAAAGATTACATCTTTTACTTTAAAGTAAAGACTTATAGAACATCATATAGCATTGCAAACTTGCTGCAGAACTAGACTTTTTATATATTTTATTTAGAGACAGGGTCTTGCTAAGTTGCTTAGGGCCTCACTAAGTTATAATATTGTTAATTTTTAAAAAACATAATTTAATGTTTTATTTCCCAAACTCTCAGGTTGATGGGAACTCTGAAGAAAGTTAACARTGTGGTGTATTATCTCCATCTAGAGGTATTTAAACTGTAAAAGCTTTGACAAGAGTTCTGTATTTTCTTTGCATTGATGTTAAAGATATTCTTAATAGTTGACAACTATACTGTTTTATCAAGTACAACTCCATTAGTTTCCCTGCAGTGTTTTCTAATTCAATGCAAATGCAATTTATGTGGTTTGAGAAAGCAAAGGCAGTATACTTCACAGAAGAAAGAGTGATCATATAATACCAGATCTGAGTTCTAGTTCCTATTTTTCTACTTACTGTGTGACACACACACACACACACACACACACACACACGCACACTCATACACACTGTGCTTTGTTTACCCTACTTAGAAATGAAAACAGGCTGTTCTGTGAATCACATGCTATAGAGCATGTGGACATAATTTGCAAATGGTAGAGTACAACAAATATGTAACACATTATTTATGATTAAGGCCATCCCTGTTTGACCTACAAGCTGCAAATCCATTGGTCATTTTATTTTCTTGATTTCAGAAGTATTTTAGCCTGGTCTGACAAAAACAACAGAATAAAATAGAAAGTTTAAGCAGCCTTAAAGTCACAAAGCAATTCATTTTGGAAAATATAAAGATGAAAATTATATCTTTAAAGTGATTCCTGATTTATTAGTTGTTACCTATTATTAACCCTTAATGAAAATTATTCTTAACGATTACATCTTTTATTTTAAAGTAAAGACTTATAGAACATCATATAACATTGCAAACTTGCTGCAGAACTAGATGGTAAATATTTTAGGCTTGGAGCCAGATAATCTCTTTTACAACTACTCTGTTGCTATGAACAATGCATGGGTGTGGCTGTGCTCCAGTAAATCTTTATTTATAAAAACAGGCAGTCAGAAATTTGGTCTGCAGGCCATACTTTGTTACTCATACTGAATGAACGAGAAAAGGTTTAACATCTTAASATACTGAAAACGATTTCATTAAAAGAAGATATTTTCTCAACGTTCTATTATAATTAAGTATGGAATAGGTTTACCTAAATTTCACCCATTATTTCTCAAGTCAAAGTTTAAGTTGCTCTTATATCACCTTTTACCTCAACTGTTTAACTGAATAATTTTTGCATTCAAATTTATTAATATTTATCAATCAATTACATTTGAGTATTTTTAAATTAAAAACTTATACCAAATAAAAAATCATGGGAAACACATTTGGATCATTGCTTTGCATATGTATCGATGAGATTTAATCTTGGAGTTAAACCTCATTGTTACAGATACGGCATTTATTTCACAACAAAAAGTTAAAAAAAGATAGATAATGGAGAAGTAACCAAATTGGTGGAAGATAGACTACAGCAACTACTAAGGRTGAGTTCAGCATAATCTGTGCTTACAAAATGGATCTCAAGATACTTAGGAAACCCTCAGACAAGATTCAATATTGTTCCTCTATGAAAATTGGAAACTCACATTGGTAAATGTCCTCAGGTTGAGGATTTACATCAAATGTACATTTTAAATGTGATTCTTCATAAATACAGATCAATGAATGGGAAAAGGATGAGAACAAAAGAGGAAGAGCTTCAGAGGAAGAAGACAGGATTAGGGAGGGGCAGAAGGAGGAAAAGGGAAATAGTGGGGAAGGGAAAAAGCTCAGACAGAGTTAGGAGCAAAATGTGTGTTCTTTCTGCATCCTAATCTGGCTAACCAAATGCCAAACACCTCCAATTATTATGGAATGGGGAAAGTGGGGTGGAGGGGAGAGAGATGGAGGGAAGGCGGGGATGGGGGAAGAGATGTTTGATCAGTACAAATTGAYTACAGTAACTCATAAAAATGGAAGACAGGAAGTACTTAACACATACACATGTTAGTTTATTAGTATATTTTAATACTATGTGAATTAAACTATCTAGGAAAATGTGGCTATGGAAATAATAACCAACACTCTTATATACTAGGGAAATGATCTTAAAAATCTCTACCAGGATGTAACTGCAAAACTATCCCTTTCCTAGAGTTTTTGCAGAAGCACCATGGGTAAGAATAATACTTTCTCTACTAGGTGCTTCAGTTCCTAAGTCAAGATGCTCTATCCATGCAAGCCATGCTAGGGAAATCATTCACAAATTCTGCAGGCTTTGTGCCTTAGCCATCTCTAGGATGTATGYGGGAAGCCAAAGTCTTCACAGGAGGAAGGAAGAGATGGTGAGGTGGGCGAGATATGGACCACCCTGTCATGAAAGAAGTCAGGRACCAGGATTGCAGCTCATCTTAGGCCAAATAAGGGCAGCTTCTAAAAACCTTTTCATATTTCAGCCTTTGTTTTTAAAATTTGGGGGATTTAGGAAACGTTATGGGATTCCTGCACACGGAGTTTTAAATGAGATTTTTGTGATGGAGCGCCCCCTGCCGACAGCAAGCCAAAGAAACAGCATGATCTGGGAAGTCGGTTTGTACTTCAGTTAGGTGGGCAAAAATGATTTGCCGAAGGTCAAATGRGGACCTGTGGAAAAGCAGCTATTTGGAGAGAGTTTTTTTACATAACAGTGTAAGGAGGGAATCAAATACACCCAGAGASGGGATGGATTTATGGAAATCTAAGACTGAAGAAAGTGTCATAAATGGTTATTTCATCTTCTTAGCATCTAAAATACCTATCTGTATTGTTGGGGGGGGGGGAACTAAGGAATTAAATGCAACTAAAAGGAAGAACAATAACTAAAAGCAATGTATTTCTTCTTATTTGTGTTTTACAATTTTAAATATACAAAGGGTCCGAAACAAATCCTGAATAGTTTTTTTCTTGCCCCAAGGATATTCATGCATGCCACCCAAATAATTAAATTCCCTGTGTTTAGAATGAGAAATTATACTCCATCTATGTATGATGTATCAAAGTGCATTCTACTGTCATTTATAACTAAGGAAAACAAATAAAAATTTTCCTGTATTTGGCCTTTCTTGTATTATAACTGGCTTTTCTTTGACCTATGGAAATTGTATCTGATGACTCAGCAACTCAGAAGAAAATGGCTAACATATTTTTTTATTATTTGAAGCACTTTCTATATTTTGTTTAGAACATGACATTATTTCAGTATGTTTTCAAACAAAATGCTATGTTGTTAGATTTAATTATAATTTATCATCTGCAAAGGCATTAGACTTAGTAGATTCATTGATGAAGTCTTCAATGAAAGTTTAAATTAAATGTATTTAAAATATGCTTAAAAAGAAATACATGAGAATAAAAAATAGCACAGTTGCTGTACTATCTCCTAAACACATTTTTTTTCCAGTGAATATGGCTGACAAGTTCATTGGGTCAATTGTAGCTTTAATCCATTGCAAAATATAAACAGCATATTAGAACACAAAATACTGCACAAATCCTGTATACTTACCACAGGTGACAGTATCCATTCATGGGCGCTCTAGCAACAGCTCGTTCACCTAAAGTTTTTCCTGAAAGATAAATGTGCTTTTAGAACTTTCATGTGAGTTGTTAGGAGGTGGATTCTGTAATTATATCAGTGGTTCCTAAAGTATGATCCCAAGACCAAAAGCRTTATCATCACCTGGAAATGTGTTAGAAAAGCACATGTGGGAGACTACTCAATCATAAACTCTGCGTTTTAACTCTCCTCCAATGATTCTGATGTGTGCTAAGGTTCAAGACCCACTCGATTCACAGACTTAACCAAGCACAAGAAAATCATTCAGTCACTACTTCAAAGCATAGTAGAATTTTTTTTTTGTAATCAATTCAAACAACATTTACTGAATAACTAATAAGTGCTATATCTGGGAATAAAATGTCAAATAAGACACAGTCCTTGACCTTTCAGGGCTCACAGGTCAGAAGGTAGCAAGTATATAAACAAGTAAATTGCCAAAAAAAAAAAAAAAAAAAAAGAGCAAGGAGAAGGAAAACAGAACACAGTAGAATGAGTGTCTAAAGGAGTAAGGAAGATGATGTTCTTACTGAGTCACTTGCAATAATGAAGAGGCTCAGTGACAGAAATTATTTCCCTAAGTTATTTCACTTAATTTTAGAATAACTCTGATCATGTAGTAATTACTTTGGGCAGAGGTGTGTCTAATACTTTGAAAAAATCAAAATGTTTTAAAGAAAATCACATTCTCAGAATGTTTCTCAAAGAGGCCATTTTGTTTTATACCTTCTTTCTCCACTCCCCCACTTCTTTTTTTATTTTTATTTTTTTGCTTGAAAAGACTATCCAATGATATAGAAAATGCCTTTCTATATAAATGGTTGAGATAACCTTTATGATAAAGAATCTTCAATTCTAAAACTATTCTCCCATTTGTTGATTTGTTAGGTAGCACTATATAGCTCTATCCAAAGGGAATTAAAAAGTAAAGTAYTTTAATAATAACTGATATTACATTATGTACAAATATGAAAGGAGTTAGTACTTTTAAGTGAGTGGTGAAAACATACTTGTTAGTGTAAAAATATTAAAAACTAAATCAACATTTAGAAACATTGCTAAATAAAACTTTTAGTGTACTACCACATGACTAAAATAGAGGTGACTCCATCACTCTTAGAATACAAAAGAAAGTTGGGAAATTTACAGGCTGGTTTCCCAAGTARCTGGAGCCCAAAAGGAAAGCTATTTCTATCACAGAACTGTATTTTGTACTCTTTTTTGAGACATTTGTATAGATCACTTAATTATGAAGAGTATAGTAACATTCCTTTAAATGTTAAGATTTCTATTTTATTTGGAATATGTTAGGGTCAATCATAATGCTTCAAAAAGGTACTGCATAATGATATATTCACTGTGAGTTTTATAAAAGAATTCTGTACTTTTCAAAGATCAAAGTTTCCTTGGTACAACAAACACATTATTTTGAGAAAAAAAAAAAAAMACAGTCAATACTTCTTCCCTTATACCAAATCCACCATTCTTCAATAGCTGGCCTGAATCCTTGCTCTCAACTCCATTGTACTTGTTCATAACCTTATTAAGCACATACACTAAATTATAATTGACGGATGCTTTGTTGATATTTTTCACATAGTAAGTTCCTTAGTGTATTATTGTCTTGATAATATTTATGTCTTTCCTCTGCCTTCCTCTAACCCTCATTTTAACATTGCTCCTAGACACAATAATTTTGAATAAATATTTCTTTCTTTCTTTTTTAGAGAGAGAGAGAATTTTAATATTTATTTTTCAGTTTTCGACAGACACAACATCTTTGTTGGTATGTGGTGCTGGAGGATAGAACCCGGGCCGCACGCATGCCAGGCGAGCGCACTACCGCTTGAACCACATCCCCAGCCTGAATAAATATTTCTTATATGGATGAAAAAAAGGAATGAAGTCATTTTTAACTTATTTCAATAAAGTCTTCTTAATTATTTCAATATCTGAGGTATTTCTCCTTTTTCTTTGACATGATAAAATTTCCTTCGTTTCTTTCCTCCCTTTTTCCTTTTCCCTCCATATCTTCCTTCCTCCCTCCTTCCTTTCTTCCTATATATTCTACTTTAATTCTATGCTGCATCTTACCCTGGGATTTCCTCCAGCATATATCCATTTCATTAATTCAGTTAAACTCCTGAACCATTTAAAAATAGAGATTCAAAGTAATTTTACTCTGTGGGGAACTGTTAACTTCCATAAGAAAGACTTCCCCGTATCAAACTCCAATCCTTGCAATCACATACTCCACGGTATACAATCTCACAATCCGTTATGTACAATCATCCCATTTATGAAACACCTAAAAAACTTACGTAGAAAAACAAATACACCACTTCTGTAACTTTGAAATAAATATTGATGCTTTTAGAGTTCTGTTCTTTTGAGGAAAGTAACAGGAATGAATAGTGATAACATTCATTACTATTATTAAAGATAAAAAATTATGTACTGAGCTCTAGATTATAATTTACAACATATTGTGATACACCTGTGTCAATTTCATTTAAATATTTGTAGAACTAAAAACTTGGGACTAGATGGGTTAATACCCTGCACTCTTCTTTGATAATAGCTTATTCCAGTTTGGTTCCTTATACATATGGTTATTTGAATAAAAGTGCCTTCCCATCAGTTGTAAGCTTCCCCATAGTCTATTTTGAGACTCTATGTATTCTGTTATTTTATTTTTGTGATCTTCACCTGCTACCTGCTAATATAAAGCCCAGGTTAGGGCAAGTGCTTAAGAAAAACTTGTATCTAATTTCTGAAAGTATCAAACATTTTACATAAATATATTTATATTTTCTCAGTAGATATGAAAATTAAATACTTTGTTCTATTTGATTAAATTTCTATTTTTCTTGAAGTTAATAAATCTCTTCTCTAGAATTCCACTTTGTATTTAGCCTGCAAATTGGATTGCTCCAGACAAACTGATCCACAAAGCTGATAATGAATATGACAAACAAGAAGGRAGGTCCTCTTATTTTCCTCCCTCTGCAGGAAGACTAAAGTGCAGAGGTCATTCCATAAACATATCTCCAAGCTGAAGTATCACAAAGAGTTTGGTAATATTTCCTTTGTAGAAATAAATACAACAGAGAACTAGACGGGGAGGAGATCTCTCTTGCCATTTCTTCCTCATGCTATCTTAGAGAAGACAGGCCTGGAAAAGAGTTGGCTTTGGAATAAAAGAASAATTTTAGGGGTCATGATGCCAAATTATAATGCTGAAGCTCAGAGAGATGGCAGTTAGGAACTTTTAAAAGAAAGTGTTTTGGAATAAATATTAAAAATTCTCTCTCTCTCTCTCTCTCTCTCTCTCTCTCTCCTCTCTCTCTCTCTTTAAAAAAAAATTCCTCAGTATAATTTTACACTGTCCTTTATATTTACTGATCTAAAGATTTAACTATTAATTTAACCAGCATTATTAACACTCTTCCTCCAGAATAAATCGAGGCTTTTAAGATGAATTGATCCCTTACTGTCCTATAACAATACAATGTGTCTGGCAGTCATATTTTTCAGACACTATTGCACAGTATTGTCAATACTTGGAGAGAAGAACAGCTGTTGTCTAGTGAGTGTGGGTTAAAGGTAAACACTCCCTACTGATTCAAAGAAACACAGGCACCCTACTTTATTATGTACGTATAAGTAGAGCTCAATAGAAAATATGGTCACATTTCATGTATATTTCATAAAGCAACAACCAGCATTTTTGACTTTTAAGTAATACGGCCTTTAGATCCTTATGGGTTCTTTTACCTTATACTCTACAGGCACTCAGTAAATATTAGCTGATGTTGAGAGTTGAATATCTTTCCTTTTCAGTTCCATATGTCTATACACACACACACACACACACACACACACACCTCCAAGCCTTTTAGGTAGAGTTTTCTACATTCCTAAGGAAATAAGACTTTGAATTATCTCTCTTGGTCCTAGATAAATTTGTAAATTCACAAAAGTAATGTCCCAGTTTCGGCTGGGAAATGACATTTTCATGAGTAATGGTAACCCATGGCAATGTCCAYGCTGTGGTCCACTGGCTGTTTAAGTATAATGCATAGGCATGGGGGTTTTACTTGTTATACCTTTTAGTGCTGCTAGTAGTGTTGTTGGTTGGCATAACTTATTTCATTATTAGTGCAACAGTAAGAGTCAGCCCTTGGGTAAAATAATCTCTGGTCAAAGATCTTAGACATTTTCAGGTTCAGGGTTTTCTAATTGGCAAGAGGAGAATGCCCTCACTTATTATTCATGGTTATGAGACTTACGTTAAAAGTGAAACAAAATATGAATTAAAACCAAATAAAGTTTTAAAGGTTCTAAGGTAAATTGTAAGGCTGGTTTCACACATCTTCAAAAATAGTTTTAAATTTTGATAGCTAATTATTTCACCTCAGCTAATATGGGAATGTTGACAGACAGCTAATTATCTCTGCATCACTGGGAATACATTGTCTCTGTTTGTTTTCCATTGTTAGAAAAAATAAATAAATAACATCAAAAAAAAAAAAGAAAGTGTTTTGGCATTCATTGAGAGTCAAGGTGAAATATAAAAATGATACCACTAAGAACAACAATTTGACATTCTGGCTATTGTTTGTTGTTATTAGGGAATTTAAAAAAATATACAAAAAAGTATAGATGACAGTATAAAAGATCATGATGTATTTATCAGTTAGCTTTAACATTATTAACTCAAGATTAATCTTGATTTATCAAGATATATTTTGAAAAAAACCATGAGTTTCTTTCCTTATGGTCTCCAGAGTACTCCCCTGAATATGTAAGGTGTGTTATTTTAATTGTGGTAGATTACTACTGGTGACAATAGTCCTTTGCCTATTATTGTTCCTCAAATACTACCACTTAATGTCTTTCTGTGATTATATAAACTTTAGAAGGTGATATGTGAGGGTTTTTTTCAGTTGCCTATTCTAATATGCTCAAATATTTTTAAACAATGTATATTTTAGCTCTAAGAAAACTGTCCTGAGACTGTGTGTATTTTTTGCTACTAGGATATACTAAAGTAAATTAAACATATTGATTTTAATTAAGATTATTTAGATTTAATTATAATTCACTAGCAGTTTATTTTAGATCCTAATTGCCACTTGAGAATAACCAGTCTTGAAAAAATACTTACCAATATTAGCATAATGTTTCTTTTCTTGTGTGTTTGTAGACAACTCACTCATGTCTCCATAAGCACGAACAAGTCGCCACATATACTCTGCTTCATCTTTAAACTGAAAAGATAAAATTGCCCATTAGATGTACTCAATATTTGTTCAGACTAAAACTGTTTTCCAACTGCAACTTTTAACAATTGGTATTTTAAGTAACTGAATCTATGCATACACAAATTTAAGTATTTAACATTTTAAATCCAAATATCTATGACTAAGAAATGTGACCTAATGTATTATTGAATCTTAAACCTAATTAATATTACCTAGGCACTTGGTCTTAGTATGTAGAAGAGAGAATTGACAGGTATCAGAATCCATAAATTCTCTGTGAGTTATGGTACCTTCTTATTTTTCTAAGTTATTTATTTTATCAATATAGATAGCTCAGTGAACATTATGAATAATATCTGTCTACTTAGGTATATATACTCAAAAGGGTAATCATACTTTAACCTAAACTTTCCAAATATAATCTTGAAGATTTTTTAAGGTTTTAAAATTTTATTGACAGATAGTAATTGTATTTTTTATGGGGTACAGTGTGATGTTTTGGTATATTTCTACTCAGAATACTTAGGTTTATAGACAATGTGTTTAGAGGTTAGGCTTAAATTGCTCATGGGAAAGATTTTTTTCTTTTGAGGATACTGCAATATCCTCCCCTGACACCTTTTTCTTTACTGGTAGTGGAAAAAGGGATGAGTTTTTCCATTCAGGTCCAACATTAAAGATTGCAAAATGACCACCGGTTGAAATACCTTTAAATATTGATAGTCCCATCAAACGAATAACAAAATAGAAAAATTAAAATATTGTTTTTCCTCTCCCCAGAGAACAGGTACTATATGCCTTGACATAATGTCTTATTCTTAATCATTTATGTATATAAATTAATAAAAAAGGAAATCCTTATAGGTCTGGTACCTATTTTTACCACCTTAGATAAGTTTCATTAACTCTTTTTTTTTCATTTTTAAAATTTTTTATTTGTTCTCTAGTTATACATGATGGTAACCTTTTTTTTTTTTTTTTTTTAGTACCAGGGATTGAACCCAGGGGCACTCAACCACTGAGCCACGCCCTTTTTTGTATTTTATTTAGAGACAGGGTCTCACTGAGTTGCTTAGCTCTTCACTTTTTTGCTGAGGCTGGCTTTGAACTCATGATCCTCCTGCCTTAGCCTCCTGAGCCACTGGGATTATAGGCATGTGCCACCATGCCTGGCAGTAAAATGTGTTTTGATATATCATACATATCATACATACATGGAGTACAACTTCCCATTTGTGTGATTGTATGTGATGTGGAGTTATGCTGGTCATGTATTCATATTAGAACATAAGAAATTTATGTCCCATTCATTCTATTGTCTTTCCTATTCCTATCCCCCTTTCCTTTATTCCCCTTTGTCTAATCCAGTGAACTTCTATTCTTTCCTCTGCCCTGCTTAATGTGAGTTAGCATCTGCATATTAGACAGAATTTTTGGCCTTTGGTTTTTCGGGGATTGGCTTATTTCACTTAGCATGACAGTCTCCAGTTTCATCCATTTATTGACAAATGCCGTAATTTCATTTTTGTTTATGGTGGAGTAATTTTCCATTGTGTATGTACCAGATTTTCTTTATCCATTCACCTGTTTAAGAACCTCTAGGTTGGTTCCACAGTTTAGTTATTATGAATTGAGCTGCTATAAACATTGATGTGGCCATGTCACTATAGTATGCTAATTTTAAGTACTTTGGGTATAGACTGAAGAGTGGGATAACTGGGTCAAATGGTGTTCCATTCCAAGTTTTCTGAGGGATCTCCATACTGATTTCCAGAGTGGCTGCACTAATTTCCAGTGCCACCAGCAATGTATGAGTGTTCCTTTTTCCCCACATCTTCACCAACATTTATTGTTAYTTGTATTCTTGATATTTGCCATTCTGACTGAAGTGAGACGAAATCTCAGTGTAGTTTTAATTTGCATTCCTCTAATTGCTAGAGCTGTTGAACATTTTTTCATATATTTGYTAACTGATTGTATTTCTTCTTCTGTGATGTGTGTGTTAAATTCCTTTTTCCATTTATTGATTGGGTTATTTGTTTTTTGGTGTTAAGTTTTTTGAGCTCTTTATATGGAGATTAATGCTCTATCTGAGGTGCATGTGGCAAAAATTTTCTCCCATTCTGTAGGCTCTCGCTTCACATTACTGATTGTTTTCTTTGCAGTAAAGAAGTTTTTCATTTGATACTATCCCATTTATTGGTTCTTGATTTTACTTCTTGCACTTTAGGAGTATTGTTGAGGAATTTGGTTCCTAAGACAATGTGATGGAGATTTGGGTGTACTTTTTCTTCTAGTAGGCACAGGGTCTCTGGGATAATACCTAGGTCCTTAATCCACTTTGAGTTTTGTGTAGGGTGAGAGATAGGGGACTAATTTCATTTTGCTATATATGGATTTCCAGTTTTTCTAGCATCATTTGTTTAAGAGGCTACCTTTTCTCCAATGTATGTTTATAGCACCTTTGTCCAATATGATATAACTATATTTATGTGAGTTAGTCTCTGTGTCTTCCATTCTGTACCACTGGTCTTCATGTCTGTTTTGGTGCCAACACCATGCGATTTTGTTACTATAGCTCTATCATATAAATTAAGGTCTTGTATTGTGATGCCTCCTGCTTCAATTTTCTCACTGAAGATTGCTTTGACTATTCTGGGCCTCTTGTTTTTCCAAGTGAATTTTATAACTGCCTTTTCTATTTCTAAGAAGAATGTCATTGGAATTTTAGTAAGAATTGCTTTAAATCTGTTTAGCACTTTTGGTAGTATGGACATTTTGACATTATTAGTTCTGTCTATCCAAGAATGTGAGAGATCTTTCCATCTTTTAAGGTCTTCTTCAATTTCTTTCTTTAGTGTTCTCTTAGTTTTCATTGTGGAAGTCTTTCACATAGTGGACTAGCAATCATAAATATTTATGGCTCAAACAATGGAGCATCTGCATACATCAAACAAATCTTTCTCAATTTCAAGAATCAAATAGACCACAGCACAATAATACTTGGTGACTTTAACATACCTCTCTCACAACTGAATAGATTCTCCAAACAAAAAGAAGCTATAGAACTAAAAAATACAATTAATAATTTATATATAGAGAGACTTTAATATATATATATATATAATATTTCATCCATCAATCACTGAATATACTTTCTTCTCAGCAACCCTTAGATCCTTCTGTACAATAGACCATATCTTATGCCACAAAGCAACTCTTAGCAAATACAAAAAAGAGAGATAATACCCTGCATTCTGTCAGATCATATAGAATGAAATTAAAAATCAATGATAAAATTAAAAATAGAATCTACTCTAATACCTGGGGAATAAATAATATGCTCTTCAGTGACCAATGGATAGAAAAAGAAATCAGGATGAAATTTAAAAAATTACTTAGAGGTAGATGAGAATAGTGATACAACACATCAAGATTGCTAGGACACTATGAAGGAGATGCCAAGAGGAAATCATTGAACTCATTCATTAAAAGGATAGAAAGTCACTGAATAAATAACCTAACATTATATCTCAAAGCCCTAGAAAAAKAACAAATCAACACCAAAAGCAGTGTAAGACAGAAAATAATTAAAATCAGAATTGAAATCAATGAAATTGAAACCAAAATAATCCAAAAAAATCAATGAAACAAAAAGTTGGTTCTTTGAAAAAGTAAATAAAATTGATAGACCCTTATTCATGTTAATGAAGAGACAGAGAAAAAAACAAATTACTGAAATTCATAATGAAAAAGGAAATATCATAATGGATACCTCTGAAATACAGGCAATAATCAGAAACTATATTGAAAATTTATTCTCTAATAAAATAGAAAATTGTGATGACATCAACAAATTTCTAGAGACATATGGCCTATACAAATTGAATCAACAGGACATACAAAATTTAAACAGATCAATTTCAAGCAATAAAAGTGAAGATGTCATCAAAAGCCTACCAAGAAAGAAAAGCCCAGGACCAGATGGGTTCTCAACCTAGTTTTACCAGACCTTCAAAGAAAAACTAACACCAATCCTCCTCAAATCATTCTATGAAATTGAAAATAAGGGAATCCTTCCAAACTCATTCTTTGAAGCATGTGATACCAAAGCCAGACAAAGACATATCAAGGAAAGAAAACTTCAGACCAATATCCCTGATGGACATAGATGCAAAAATTATTAATAAAATACAGGCAAATCCCATACAAACACATATTACAAAGATAGTGCAGCATGATCAAGTGGGGTTCATCCCAGAGACGCGAGGTTGGGTCAACATACAGAAATTAATAACATAATTCATCACATCAACAGACTTGACAAGAATCATGTGATCATCTCAACAGATGCAGAAAAAGAATTTGACAAAATACAAAATCCATTCATGCTCAAAATACTAGAAAAACTAGGGAAAGAACATCTTTCAACATTGTGGAAGCTATATATGTTAAACCCAAGGCCAACATCATTCTAAATGTAGAAACATTTAAAGCATTCCTTCTAAAACTTGGAATAAAAAACAGGGATACACTCTTTCACCATTTCTATTCAACATAGTCCTTGAAATTCTAGCCAGAACAATTAGAAGAAAGACATTAAAGGGATACAAATAGGAAAAGAAGAACTCAAACTATCTTACTTTGCTTACATGATTCTATATTTAAAAGCCCCCCAAAAAACACCAATTTCTAGAACTAGTGAATGAACTCAGCAAAGTAGCAGGATATAATAACACACATTAATCAATTGCATTCCCTAAACATCAGTGATGAATCAACTGAAAGAGAAATAAGGAAAACTATCCCATTCACAGTAGCTTCAAAGAAAATAAAATATTTGGGAATCAACCAAATATTTGGTTAGATATGCTAGAGGCTCTTCATAGAATGCAAATTGGTCTGGAGATTTTAAGCCAGCACACCTCTGGGCTCAGAAATTTCGAGTCTTCACTGGAAGATTTCCCCCCAGTGATCTCCCCTGGGTTCCACTTGTGGGTGGAGGAGCCAATTCTTAGTCCACTGTGTCACCTGCAGACCCAACATTTCCTGGTCTTGGGCTCAGTCTCCAAACTCAATCTCTCCTGCTCTGGCCCTTTCAAATTCCTGGCCAGGCATGTCTCTCCCAGCTGATCCTGCAAGCAGCTGGATTGGGACAGGGAAAGGGAGTGCTGGGTAGGTTTCCACAACCAATATTCCTCTGTGTAAACCTTTCTCCACATTTGATTTTTTCCTGGTCACACAGGCACTCTCTATGTCATGCAATGTGGGTTTGCAAGACTTGTATTTCAGGCCAAACTCAGGTTTACCAGGAATTTTCTCCCCCAGCTGCTGGCCCCCATGAAGTGGCTGCAAAATTATTCCTTCCTTTGTCTTCCACATGCCACAGGGAGAGAATCAGCTTCTTTCCCACATGAGGATATTGTGCAGTATGCCTTTCAGTTTAATCAGGCAGTGTTTTTGATCTATAAACTTTCCATACCTAGACATGTCTCAGGGTTCCTAAAAATGCTGGTTCCTTTAATTCCTTTATCCYTCCACTTTGCTCACACAGGGACCTCTCTGGCTGTGGCAGTGGCTGTGGCATGGGGATTTCTTTCTAACTTTACTATAACCAACCTCCTGAGTTTCTGATCTGCTTTGACTATCTAGTATTAAATTCCAGTAAAGTACTGCCTTTTTTTTTTTATATTCACTGACTTTGCTGAGACACTGCCTATCTACTTTCTTGGTTTCATACCACAGAACAGCCAGGAAAGTGACCTTCTCTATTCTGCCATCTTGATATATCCTATTAATTAACTCTTATACTTAAGTTTTTAAAAATTTTAGTCATTTTATTAAAAAACTTCACATCAATCATTTACATTATATGAACTGTGACATAACATAAATAAGATGATAGATAAAATAAAAAATGAAAACAACATATTGTCAAAAAGTTCTTACCTTTTCTTTGTTTATTTAGTTTTTTCATGTGGTGTCAGGGATTGAACCCAGTGCCTCACACATGTTAGGCAAGCACTCTACCACTGAGCCATAACCCAGAAGTTCTTACCTTTTCTTTGTAGTCACAAAGTAGTTCAAAACCCTCCGTCCTGCCAGACTCATTCATACGTAAATGATCTGCCTTCTGAAGAAGGGCATCTAACTTTAATTCTTCTACATGTGTGTTAAATGCCTTAGTGCCTGGAAAACTTGGTTCTTCTGTGTCAGTATTAGCTGTAATATACCTAAAATGGCAGAAATGACCATTAACTCCTATGAAAGTTATGCATAATTGCCAGAGTGATACTTTTAAAATGCAAATCGAATCATACATAGAACTATAATTGGTGCCCTGTAGRCAACAGAGACAATGCTGAAGATCTAATAACAGTTCCTGTGCAATTTGCCTCCCAACCCCAATTCCTCTCTAACTTCATTTGTCACCACTCTTCTCACTCATTCACCTCCACTGTGGCCTCTTCGCTGTTCCTTAAGCCTGCCAAGCATGTCCTACCTCAGGACCTTTGCTCTGATGCTGCTCTGATGCCATGCTCTTACCTTAGACAGCTACACTACACCCTCACCTCCTTCAAATCTTTKCACCAATGTCGTTTCCTCAGTGTAGCCCCTCCAGGTCACTCTGTTTAATACAGGAACTCACACACTCCTCACCTTCAATCTCCCTCATCATGTTTGACTCCCCACTCACATAGTACATATTATCTTCTAATATACTGTATAGCTTACTAATCTACTACATATGCTGTAATTTGTCAGTATTCATTCCATAAGAATGAATGCTTCCTGATAGTTGGGTTCATCAACTCATGTGTCGAGTGCCCAAACAGGGCACTTATATTTTATAATATATAAGAAAACAAATTAGAAATAGTGAGGAAAGCAAAAAAAAAAAAAAAGGTCAAAGATTAATGAAGTCAATAAAAGATTTTTTCCTTTTTATAAGGAACACAAATGTGGTTCTTCATTTTTGAGCAGCTAATGCAATCAGTCATATAATTTGCAGTTCTCATTAGATATAAACAAAGATAAAAGTGAGTTCTTTGGAAAATTGCAACTATTACCAAATGCTG